TGATGTATGGCAGTGTTATCCTTTTCATAGCTTGTGTTGGTTGTGTTGTAGTAGGTTAAGTAGTCAGGCACTTTTTGATAAAGTTGTGTGGATATCTTTTTTGTTGGAAGATGTTATATAGGTGGTCTGTTTCCTTTTTCTGCTGTCTGGGTTACTGCAATGCGTTTGTGCTCGTTTGAATAATGTTCTTACACAGCTCCTCTTGTGGGAAGGTTGGGTTGTTACTTTGGTAATGGAGTATGTAGATGACACCTTTGTTATAATAAAAAAGGAACACCTAGAGAAGACACATGAAACTATCAACAACATCTTCAAAGGAATAAAATTCACCAGAGAGGAGGAACACGGTTATAATAAAAAAGGAACACCTAGAGAAGACACATGAAACTATCAACAACATCTTCAAAGGAATAAAATTCACCAGAGAGGAAGAACACGCTACCCTTCCTGGATATCCTCATCAGCAGAGGTAACAACAGCAAATTAGAAAACCAAGTCTATCAGAATACAACTCACACTAATCAAGTACTCCAAGCAAAAGACCAGAACATCTCCTTACCAGCAATCATCACCCAGATAAGCAGAGATTAACACCAAGATTATCACCAGACATACAATCAAGCAGTAAACAATACCCTAATCAAGGAACCTGAAAGGATGTGCCACCACCCCATAGATGTACTGCCAAGCACCTCCAATGCTTCCAGGCCTCACCAACACTGCCAGCTCCATCACTGCTGAAAAGCTGACTGGCACACCAGGTATTCTTTGTGGCCCATGATTATTTTTAATTTATCAATGTAGCCCTTTCCCCTGAGTTGTGCAGGCCTGTTCCATAGGCAATCATACTGTATAAGATAAAACATACTGTCTCAAAGCAATATCCTAAAGTTACATTTTGAATTATCACAATTAAAAACAAATAACAGATTTATTCTTATACTTAAAAATTCGCATTATTACTAGTTACATAATGTACAAGTTAGAAGGCTAGCTGGATACATATTTACCTTTTAAATGATAAAGAGATGTGGTTTACTTACTCTGTGAAACACATGAGAACAAGAGAGCAACACCTGTTCAGAAATAATAAAATTACTTTGAGACTTCAATTCATCCAAAAATCCCCTCTACCCTTGCTATAATTAGTAAATGCACAACAAACAAACAGTAGCTTTCATTGCAAAGAGAACATTTTAGTGGTTAATCACATTATCTGCATATTTATTACACTTCAGATTTATATACTGGATTTTTTCCCCAATGGTTGTTAAAATGCTTGCGGAAAGGGCACAACCTGGTACCCTAAAAGCCATGTGTATAAGGTGAATCATGAGTCCCTGAATACATGTTAGAAGGTCCTTCCTAGGGCAGATGGAGTCTCCTTAACACTTGAAGTCCCTGTCTCTGAACTGCTTCTGATAGCTATACAAAGTAATCTTAAGAAAGTGGAAAGAATGGTACCAATTATTTGCTTTTTGGAGAAGAAGAGAGAGGTTGTGTCCCATTCATGATCAGGCAACAGTCCAATGTTCTGTGAACAAAGTTGGCAACCCATATTTATTATGACTAAGCGCAAGTTAATTCATTTAGTTTTTTCCAATGGTTTTTTTTTTAACATGTTTCACTGGATTCCAGGACTGTGAAATGCTTTGGATTCAACTTAGAATTCTGTGGTGGTTGTGAGGAAATTGGAAACTGACTGGAAACAGCAGCAGCTGTTTTAATGTCTTACAGACAGGTGCTACATTGGTGCCCTTATGTATTCCAAAGCATCTCTTCCAAGCTGAAGCCACAGCATTTCCCAGTTCTACCAGACATATGTCATAATATTCAAGGAGGCAGATAAAATACCTGTGGCTGAAGTGCAAATTCTTCTTTGCATATAGCACAAGGTTGAACAGAATCTCCTTGTTTTATGGATCGCTGCTTCACATGTTCCCACTCCTCCAGAGTTAGTGGCAGGGCAGGAAGCTCCACCAGTCCAAGTTTCTGAGCTGCAGATAAAGTCCAGTAAATGAAATGGACTCATAATTTATTCCTTAGAGGATCTTCAGTGTGGCAGTGCATATTTAATATTTCTATGGAAACATAAGCATTCTTTTTTTTTTATAGCTACTAATGTTCTTTGGGGATAAACTTGAATTAATATTTTCTAGCTCATAATTTAATCATAAATTTGAATGTAATAAGTTCAGTGAAAGTAACTGAATAACAATAATTCCATTAATTAAAGCTAATATTTGGGGGGATGGTTTATTAAGGAAAGAGCCAGTTTGGTCTAGTGGTGAAGGCACCAGGCTAGAAAGCAGGAATCTGTGAGTTCTAGTCCTGACTTAGGCATGAAAGCCGGCTGGGTGACTTTGCGCCAGTCACTCTCCTCACAGGGTTGTTGTGGGGAAAATAGGAGGAGGA